GTACGCGTATTTTTCAGAACGAGACACATTTGCATATTTAGATACGGATACAGTAAATACGAATAGGGCGGTACAAAACACTGTAATTCGTTATTTGCGCGATAATGGAAAAATCTATATATAAAGGAACCTATATAAAATTACAGTGCGCTCGTCCGCGGATTAAAGTCTATTCATTTTTTATGACATATATTTACAGAATATATGTGAAAAGCAGATTAAAGAATGATATTTGAGGGATAACACAATTGAAAATAAAAGTACCATCTATATGAATGTATTAATACGTATATGTTACTCGTATATGTACCTCGAGCTTTTGGTAAATTTAATCTTTTTATAGAAACTCAAGTTGAAATTTTTCTCCTGCTTTCTACATTATTTTTTAAACTAATATCTACTTCTCTTTTTTGATATTACTTAATTTTATAAGCTTTTCTTTCAAATTTCTAAATGAAAAATTGTTTGCTTATTTGAGATACAAAGTAGGATTTTCTACATAAATTAAAATCCTCTAAAATATAAGAAAATTGAAATTGAAAATGGAAGCAAAATTTCGACTCGAAAGAAAGCGTTGTGTTTTTTTATAAAGTATCTTCTATAAATTCAATAGTTTGTAAGAAGATCAGTTTTGAACATCAAGTTTTTATTTTGTTTTTATTTCATTTACAAAATAATTGAATTTAGATAACAAGGCATACATGCATACATATGACATAAAAATGTAATACATTGTTTATATCGTTTTTTTTTTAATGTAATATTATTCTTTTAAATATACTACTTCTAATATTGGAACAGACTTTTTAAATCTTTTTAAACAGACTTTTAAATGCATCACTGAATTCCCGTCTTTAACAAACACCAACATAGTTGGGACAGGTTGTATTTCACGATATGTCCTTGCACGGAAGCGATTTCTACGTCGGATATAAAATCGCGTAAGAAAAGTTTGAAAGAGACGCTTTCGTCGCGTCAGTGATGCTTTTTCAATGTGACATTTTTAGAACTATTGTTTGTACTTTTATAAGCTTAACTTTTATAAGAAAATGTGTGCAACGAGAGGGTTAAGAGTCGAAAAAGAGGATGTATCAATGTCTGTTCGCGTTGTCGAGAATCGTCTCGAAAATACGAACAATTTCAAAGTCAGTGGCTGTTCTCGATTTGAAAATATCCGAGAGAGCTGACATAACGTCCTCACGTGACACTCGAAAAGCTGTCGTCTCCGTTTCCAGTATCGTTGGTGTTGTTTTGCGACGACAGAGGTAATTTCTGTGTTTCGTCGGGAGTCGAAACGTTTCCGACCTGATACAAGACAGAAATGAGAAAGCTGCCGAATTTGCGCGCTATTTGCGCCATTTCTTTCTCTCTGATATTATACTTTTTATTTATTAAAGCGTTCACAACGCGTAATAGCGTAATAGATGTGTATATTTTGCTGGAAACGTTCCCGAGAACGTTGCCAGCGGAGGCTGTGCTGTAATATTAAAACATCTGAAATGAAATATCGAGCTTATATGAGATACTTATTGTCAATCTTATCTTCTATTACGTAAAATATTTTCATTGTTTTCGACAATATGATATGATATGAATATGATATGAATATGATATGAATGTAATGGGAATCGCGGGAATTTATTTTTTGTTTGTTTCAAGAAATCGCAAAGCATAATTAGAAAATCTTCTTTTGGAATTGTAAAAAACATATATCGTTTGTTGAAAAATTATCACTTGTTTAGAGGACACATTTATTTACATTATTATATTTTTATTCAATTAATTTTTTATCTGAGTATAATCGAGTTTTTTTTTATATAGCGTCGACGAAATTTACAATTTCTTTTTATTTTGTGTGCCAATATTGTAGAAGAAATATTTCGAGAGCGATTTTAGAATGTGATTTTGTGACAGTGCATAATGTTAAGATAATATTGCCAGTAACAAATTGGGCGCATACATGATATATATGTGCATACTGGAATAATAATGTCGTTAAATTAATCATGTATTGTCGTCAGGATATGTTAGAGAATAAACAGGTGTGTTGCGGCGAAACAAATCAAAATTATATTAAATAAAACAATAATAGAATAATTGTGACGTTATAATTAAGGTCTTGATGTTTTTCTACATGAAAAATTAACTTATCTTTATTTATCGAATAATTTATCAAAATTTAATGAAAAAAGAAAAACGGTCTCGTATTCTAGAAAATTTGTTTTAATTTAAATAGGAGGAAAATAAAAAACATGAACAAGAATAATACATGATAATAACAATTTTATTTTCAATTCTCTTTAATGATCAGAATGGATTAATTGTCTCACACATAAAGTATAATCCTATTAAGATCTTCTAAATTCTTTATTATCATAGTTTTGATTTGCAGCTTAATACATTTCTAAAATTATTGCAAGTGCTCTAAAGAAAATACATTTTATATTAATAATTATTATAATTAATAAGGAAAATTTCCCATTTAGAGCTTATTTCTGTATATTTAATTAAGGTTAAATTAATTTCTAAGAGAATTTTTATTTTCGTGGAGCTCTTTCCCGAAGGATTTTCCAGCAAGAATTAATTCGAGATTTTATTCCGTGCGAATTGCAACAAGGTGAAATAATCTCGATTGTAGATAAAAGTAGCGAAATTTAACTAATTGGAAGAATTGAAAAGATAACTTATACGTGATATATATCGATATATATATATATATATATATATATATATATATATATATCAATATGTACATATCAATATATCAGTTCTCGAATGTAAAAAATAAATATATCCATTCTTATGTATCTCAATTATTACTTATATAACTTTTACAGGAGTTTTTTATGAGCCCGCTAGCTTTTCGCGTGCGTTAAACGAGAACAGCAACGTTGTGCGCCCCATTTCTTATACTATACTTCGCTTGTAACTTTATCGATTGAAACTTGTTGGAGAGCGCACACATGTGTGTCTGCACGCAGGGTTTTTAATTTCCTGAAATACCATATCAGAATATCAGACGGAATAATATAAGCCTCTCCCCTCATTTTTATACACCAAGTTTTATAATTATATATAGTATGCAATTCTATAGAACTTTACACGTAAATATACTTTAAATATACTTTAATTTACTATAAATAATTGTTGATTATTATGTTGCTGTCTATGCACACACATTTTTACGATCAATCCAATATTGTCCGATATTATAGGTAATATCGAGAAAATAAATTTTTCAGAGATATTGTGTACATTTAGCAACGCGACATTCTGGATTCGATTCAGATTGCGATTTGAATCGCGAGATATTTGACGTAAAATTTATTTATATACTCGGATACGTGCCGTCATATCTTTCCTATACAAATTTCAAATTTGAAGACAGATCGAACCTAACGTCGAGATATTGATATAAAAATGGCTGGCAGATAATAAAATCCCGCGAAAGTCTGTTAGGGTGAAATAAATAATATCAAGCGCGTTCTATCGATCGTTTCCTCGCATATGTGTGCGCATACTATCTATCTTTAACATGACAATGTACATAATATGAAACGAGAGAGACAGAGAGGGGGGAGGGGGACCGAAACACATGTTGTCTCGGTTGATTTAATATCAAAACTTTCGCGATATCGTCCATGAGATCGCATATTGTATTCCGTTGTGTTGTTCATTTATCAGTATCGCGTAAACCTATTTTCGCTGGCGAGTTATACTGAATTCCTAACGCACACATGCATGCATACATACACGGAGTGCCGTAATTCCGCAATAATGCGAAGTCAAATGTGGCTATTGAATATCGATAGGCATTCCGCGGCCGCGGTTGTAAAAGGTAATATACCTTAAGAAGAGAGTTAACGGCCTGATAACGTAATCGATCGCGGATGTAAACAATGTAAAAAGACGATACATTTGCAACTATATCGCACGGAATGTCAGCTATCTACTCGAGGGAACATTTTTCCGAGAAATTTAAATAAATTTCAAATGGCCGATGTATTGCGTCGTAACAATGCATAATGATGGACTCATTAAAATTCTAGATGCGTCGTTCGCTCTCTCTGTCTCTCTAAAAAAGTAATTGCATCAATAAGCGAACATTGATATAATGATAATGAGATGCAGCCGTCTCTGTCTCTCTCCCCGCTTCCCCCTGCATCGCGGTTCTTTATTTATTTATGAGATTTATTTACTTATGCAATTTTACGCGCTGATAGAACGCAAGTTTGAAACAAACTTTATACTTTATAGCCCAAGTTGAAAAAGGAGTAATGAAAATATATTTTAATATATGATCGATTATTGTACACGAATCACAGGTAAATTAAAGAGTGATGCAAGAAATAACTTTGTACATCTTGCAATTACGAGGCGAACCGGCGATTATATTGACGTTGATAAAATTATTAGCGCTGTTTCTCTTTCTGTATTATGTATACCTTTTACATCTAACAAACTAAACTTTTCGCTTTAATGAACGAGAGAGATGGCAATTAATTCTCAACGCTCTCCAAGTATTTAAACTTCTTCGTACTCGATTTAGCTAGACATTGTGTTAAAGATGTTATCGCTTCTACAACTGCGTACAATTTACAACTATTACATTGTCTCTCGACAATATTTGACGCGAGTATCGCGCTACTTGTATACAAGTGTGGTGAAATAACAATTCGCGAATTAATTTCACACTCGAAATTGTTCCTAATCGTGTTACAATGCACGCATTTCTTTTTTCCTCCTTTGTATGTGGATCTTACATCTTCTCTCTCTCTTAATTTAAGATTGCGAAGTGATGTTTTACGACGTTAATGTTATGTGTTTTGTCTCCGAAATATTGTGGCGCAATGTTTTTCTCCTTATCTCTGCCCGAACTTTGTTTCGAACTCTATCGTTCGTCTAAAGTGTATCTGTGTACGTGTGCACGTCCAGTTAATTAATTAATCACTGATCTCTTTTTCTGTTTCATGCCCCTCGTTTCGATCGGAACCTCGCAGAGCGCAATTAGAGTAAGTATGAACGACCGTGTGTGGGAGATAAAGGTGTGCGACATTTAAACGGAAAGGGTCCGTTGATCTATACGTATACTCAGCTCTCACTTTATTTAACTTTTCCTTCCGTCTTCTCTTTCACTTCCGACTTCTCTTCTTAACGAAATACACTATATATATCGTCTACTTTGATTGCGTAAGTAGTTGCACTTCGTTCACCCTTCTATCACAATTTTCTCGTTTTGCCCGATGACGATATGATGATCGTATCACGTCGTTTCTGTTGGCTGCGTAGCCCCAGCGTTTGTACAACTCTATTTCTTTATCTCTCTCGATCTGTCATCTATCTATCTGCCCGCTATTTCGTCTTGTGTTTCTTATAATCTGCAATAAAGGGCGAGAATATATTATATATATTGTTTTTTCTATTTCTTAAGTCCATTCGATCGGCCAGCTATTGGACTTATCCTCATTCTTTACTCTGAGACCACTCTATTTTTCTTCATAAATACACAATATACATACATAAATACATTGCCTGCAGTCAAATGGATCTGCATCATAGATTTTGTTTATACGGCCAGCAGCTCGTTGGATCAACAGTTTCTGTAAAATCAGTGTTAGATATGACGTTTTACATTGCTTTTCAAGTTTTTGGTTTGAAATTCATTCTCGTATGTGTGTGTATCGAGATCGTACAATCTGCAAGGAACGTTTATAAGGAACGTTTATGAATAAAATTAATTAGGTGTAATAAAAGAGGGAGAATAATTATTTAAAAAATTATTTTTTTAAATCCGATAAAGGAAATTTCTCGGGTAATCATGTGAAATTGATTTCATTCGTGAGCGATGCGTGAAATTCTATGTCTGTCGAAAATGCGATTTTTCTCAGACAATCTTACATCCGTATTTTCGTCTCTTACACTTGAACGCGGATTCCCCCGTATCATTCGTTGTTTACCGCAGCAAATATACAGACGCATGTCAGCAAACTCTTCTGCCACTGCAATAAATACCGCTTATACGTGTAATGTGACAAGAGGTGTTTACCTCTTACATGACAAAAATATTTCTCTATGTGAATCCCCTACATCTCGAGCGTAGAAGACCTATTATCTCTATTGTTGTATTTATCTTATTTGTTTCTGTGCAAACTAAAATTTGTATATTTTTATACTTTTAATTAATATAGATTAATGAGATTTTTCAGCCATTAAAATGGCATCAAGCTTGATACTGTTAATAATTAATAATTTTTAGTTAGATATAAAAGAAAACTTATTAATATATATCCAACTGAAAATTACGTGATATCATATCTTGATGTCATTTTAACCGTAAAAATCGGCGACGGTCATAAATTGCGGGCCACTGTCACAGGTGTCTCGCAATGCATCTTTCTGCACATCGATAGCGGAGCACTCCGCGCGGATTTCTTTCTCATTCTTATTTATGAGTTATGAATAAAAATTCGCAGTAAATAAGGGAACACTCGCCGCGAATCCGGTAAAATACTGTCGAGACCTTCCTTTAATCGGATAAAAAATAAAAAGAAATTTATGCGGACGTATACCTTTTTCCCTTTATGTGTATATTGCGCTTACATGCGAAATGTAACGTTTCGTGCTTTTAGCGATGCTGTGATACTATGAAAATATGCGCATTTTTTACGATATTTTATAAATAACGTCGATGTCGAACACATTTAAACATATCGATGTAATAAATTTACGGATTATTTAAGTACATAAACTCGAAATAGCAGCCAAGCAAATAAAACAGATGTAAAAATTTTAATTGGTGCTATTTTAATTTGTAATTAATTATATTAGATAGATATTATTGATTCATTGTCTTCAAAAAAAGAATTCATTTATTTCAGAATTCGATTAATGATACACATTAATTTATATATCGAATGAAATAGGATATTTTGAAATTATCCTTTTGATAGTAGATCCTTTTAAATTAATCTGGACTTGACTTTTTTTAGCTAATTTAGTCTTGACATTTTCTTTGAATATCTGGAGGAAGATCATCATTTTTATAAATTTTTTCCATCATGTATCGTTGTTAATTAAATTTTCTCTAATTAAAATTCTATTAAAGTAAATTTCACTTGAAATTAATCGAAAAAAAAATAATTTTATTGATCTTTTGATTCTATAAAATTTAGTTTGCGAAGAGCCCTCGTTTTCAACCACAAATTATTGATGCCTCGGCTTTTTCCCTGAGGGAAAGTCGTCAAATTGACCAATGAATTGATTTTAGAAACCCTGTACACGATCCATTCGGGACGTTTTTAAACGTGGACAAGTAGGTAAATATGACGAGAAATTTACATTTTCTCCATAGAATGGATGAAATTTTTTTTCTATTTAATAGAAGCGAGAGACGAGAGCATTTTAGCGTTTCCGTATCAAACAATTTCAGCTTGCATACGTATCGATTTCTTCTTTTTTTTCACGTACTTGGCGTGCATTTATTTTTCTTTCCTGCCGTGGCTTTTGTACAATTATGAACGCTCCGCGACTGAGTGGTAAACAGCAACTATTAATACGAACCGACGACATGACGTATATCGGCTTGCGTGCCTGAGAGAACGACGCGCCGATTAGCGATGTACGTGTAGCTCGCAGTAGATGCGACAGAGAGTAGATTGAACGATAAATTTATCTAGATCTTATTGTTAGAGTTATCGCCTGGTGCGCCTCTATAACGTAATATCACCGAAACGTCGTATCGCTAGGATATACGCTAGGTTGGTGATAAGCTTGTGCATGAATGAGGGGACGAGCGAGAGATTGTCAGGGATAAACAGATGACAGGAAAATGTCATTTCAGAAAGATATCGAATGGAATATTGGACTGATAATCGCTTGTTGCGTTTCGCACTTGTAGATCTATCGAAATGTTTATAATCTATTTAAGTATTTGTAATATTTTTGAAAATTAAAGCAAAATTACAATGGACGTAGTAAAAGAGAGAGAGTCTTGAGATTTAATAAAAATATTTGTTTTTCTAGAATTTTGTACAGAAAATTGTAAAACTGTCTCGTTCGCTTTCGAAAGGAATTTTAGGTAATGTAAAATATTATAAGATCACCATGAGACTTGTAATTATAAAAATCATATAATAAAGGCAAATATGTGTCTCACATTCACAAAACTAGAAATTTTTGTGACAAAGTAAGATTATAATTTAACGGAAATAAGTTTCTTTTAAATTCATAAGAGAAAATAATTGTTTTCTACATCTTTTTCGATGCCAAAATATAATTCGATGACTATCAAACTTTATAATTATAAGAATATTAATAAAAATTTTCTTTTACAATTTAAATTTGATTTTCTCAAAATTGCGAAGAGGCATTTCTGAGAAAAATCTCTGCCGAAAAATTGCATAGAACGGCACTGAAAAAAAATTTGGTTGAAAATTTACCAAAAAAATATTCTGTTGTAGTAATTGTACATCATTGTACTGAACTCTCTGTTTTGATGATTTGAACAAGCTTTATTTACATCAACAAATTATTTCGGAATATTTCAGTTATATTTATTTGAACGTATCGGACAATATATTTAGTTGGGCAAAACAAATTTTGCCTTTTTCAACCAAGTTTTTTTTTCAGTGAAGTATTCCTTTGCTTAGTATCTTTTGGTGTTTAATCAGACTTCAATGAGGTAACGAAATAAATCAAATATCGAGTTTGTTTTAGCGACGCGGTCTCTGGACGATTCCCGCTTCTGTCAAAGGATGACGAGATAATCGATCAGTTAGAGAAGACCATTCATGGCCTGGGCGTGAAAATACGTGCGTGAATAACGGCGACAAATCTTACGTGTATTTTTCAGGACGACCGGCAGCCCCGCTAGCAAATCCCCGGCAGGTGGTAGCGGTGGACCCGCGAGCGGCGGCGGAGCTGCGGGTGGGACGGCGGCGCCAGGTAGCGGCGCCAGCAACGTTGGAAGCGGGGAACCCCGTACACCTACCGCCGGGCCGCAGAACAAGCAGCTGCAAAATGTTAAGGGAGAACACCCCTCGGTAAATGCCTCTAGATTTTTCACCGTCTATTGCGAAAGGAAAAAGGGAAGGGGGGATAATACGATGAAATTGTCGTCAAAGAATTATAATTTAATTTAAAAGGATCTAATTTGTTTAGTAGCAACCTCTCAATTTTTGTTGACGATAGAGATTTAGTTAGTAAAAAAATGAATAATTATTTTTGCGTCATCGCACACAGAGAAAAATGTCATTCCACTGTCAGGAAAAGCGATTACTCAGTTTATTTTTCTTTTTTTAAGTAATAGTTTTCTTCAACAAAGAATATATTCTTGATAATAGTGTTAAAATATACTCATCACAAGTTAGAAAATCTCATTATCATGTACACAAAAGAAGAATTTGTTTTCTCTTCAAGAATGTTGTAAAGTTGTATCAAAGAAAAATCAAACTTACTTTATGTAGCAAGCAAACCAAATTTTTGTTTTAATTTAATATTCTTGACTAAAATACTGCACTTACTAAAATTCAGAATATATTCAGAGAATATTAAATTTAATTCTTGTGATGAACTTATGATATATTTGTGAATATACAAACTTATGATATACTTAAAATAAATAATATTTACTTGAATACAGTATACATTTTTCTCTGTGCACAGAGTCAGGAAAAATTGGCAAATCGAAAGCTCGTCGTCTTTACCTTCTTTTCTCGAGGAATCATGTTGTAATGTGACATATAAAAAGCTATAAAAGTGACAGTAGTTGCGCAATTATTGCTCACGTGGATGTAATGAATTCTCGTATCTCGGATAGAGAACGGACGGACTAACATAAAATATTTAATTCGTCTAGAGATCTTTGTACTTTTTGCAATGTAATTCGATTTTAAGAGAGTTCGCACTCTAGTTCAAACTTTAAACCAAGTATTGCTTCTGGAAGAGAGAACGGAGGAATCTCGAGATGTCTTCTTCGGAACGAATCGTAATGATCTGCGCTCTGTGCATGTTGCAGAAAGCGTTTCTACAAAGCAGGTCTATTTCCCTGGTCGATATGTATATCGATAATTCGGAGCCGAGCGAGAACGTCGGTCAGATCCACTTCAGTCTCGAGTATGACTTTCAGAACAGCACGCTTATTCTGCGCATCATACAGGTCGGTATATCCAAGTTTTCGTTGTACCCAACTCGATGCGCCAGAACTTGGCTCTTCGAAACTTACTTGCCAGCCGTTTATTTTGTTATTGAGCGTGTTTGCATGCGTCCGTTGCACATGATATTGCTACGATCATACAACTACAATAATAATAATAATAATAATAATAATAATAATAATAATAATAATAATAATAATAATAATAATAATAATAATAATAATAATAATAGAATACAGGAAGAGAGAGGGGGAGAAAAGAGAATAATATTATGCAGGAAATAATATATTAAATCAAAATTGAAAGCGGTTATCACATTAATAGCAATAACGTGTTGTGGTTGATAATTACGCATGAATAATGATAAGGGATGATTTTATTTTTTTGTTGAAAATCACGCTTTTCAAATTACTCTATAGTATAATATGTACACGTTGTTCTACATCGATTGACCGATACGCGTATTTCTCATAGTCAGCGTTTCCGATACGATCTAAAAATATAAATCGAGGCTATCAAGATGTCCTGTAATTGATGGTACAATCGGGGAAAAGTAATTCTGCATACAAAAATAAATTGAAGATTTATAAAATCAATTTTTTGGTCAAAAACAAAGCCTTGTTCTCGACAAAATAAATTCTGACAAATAAATTCTGTTAGAAAACTGATAACACATTATGTTTTTGAGCTTGGGTGACTTCTAATAATCTATTATAATTATTGATTTTTATCAAATAAAAATTGTTGTAACTTTATATATCAATAATCATTTTCGATATAAACATATGTGACAGATGAGACAGAGACTATTCAAACTTAAACGAACACAGATATGTTATTAATTTTTCACATTTTAAAGTCAATTTTCTTTTCCAACTAAACTAAGGCATATGAGATAGTTTTGATTTCATAAAACTTTTAATTCATTCTTTGACGTAGAATTATTATTATATATATAGAATTATTATATATATAGAATTATTTTCTTGATTATACTTGCGATTATATGTGTGAACGCATTATAGTCGATTTTTGGACTATGAGGATCACCCATAAATCGCAGACGAGACACCGTTTTGCACCGAAATGTGAATGTGTACGAAATATTCTGCAAAACTGGGACGTCGTACATTACTTTTCTGTTACGTAGAGCAAGGACTTTTGAAACTGAAATGCGCTACAGTCTCAGGGAAAATAGCATGTTCAACGCGGGTGGGGGCTTCTCGGTTGTAAACAAACGCATAAATTACTGAACACTGGATTTTTCGTCTCGCACGATTTAATCCGACGTTAAGTGAAACACGCTCGACCACCGATATCTACTCTTAGGTTCTCTTTGCAATACAAGGATTATCGTGCCAAGAGATCTCAACAGTCAGGCACACAGCATCGTCATATTTACGCGATTATATTTTACATTGCACGCGACTCAAATTTTTTGTAAAATACTCTCCCGATTCAAGTTTTAATGTGTAATTTTTCGAGTACAGATATTCGTAGAAGAATTCTATTATTATTATTATTATTATTATTATTATTATTATTATTATTATTATTATCATTATCATCATCATCATCATCATCATCATCATCATTATTATTATTATTATTGTTGTTGTTGTTATTATTATTATTATTACTATTATTATTATTAATATTATCATTATTATTAAAAATTAATATTATTATAAAATTAATATTTCTCGAAGTTGTAGAAGATATAACTACATGCAATGTGCTACTTTCTTATTTTAACGAAAAATTATAATAAAATCGCTTAATATTATCGCGTACTTTATTAAACACATGCTAGTGAAGAAAAGCATAATTTTTCACTTAATTTGCATCCGACCTCTTTCTCTTGGCGAATTTAATCGTCGGTGAATTATTTAATAGAGAACTTTGGCGAATGATGTGTTGTTGTGACTTTTATTTTATATTTCTGACATTGTGTGTGCGCGTTGTACTATAAAAAGAAATGATTGTTTTCTTCTCGTCGATTTCCTCGGCGAATATTGATAACACGTGTATAACGCGATTTTCTCGCGAGGCCTCTTTTTCTGTTCGAGTGTAATTTAGTTAACTTTATATTTCGCTTCGTATTTTCTTCGCAACAGACGTGAATTATAAATGGCTCGCATGTACCTCGATGAAAGTGGAACGCCCCCGTGCTTTCATCCCGAAAAATTTCCATTTTTGCCATTTTCTGTGTTTCTCTCGTATGAAAATTTGTTGGCATCACAGAATATTCAACTGTATATTCATCAAAGATACCGTATTTACTCGATTTATTTATTCGTATTTATTCGATTACGTTCAATATCCTTGTACAATCTCGGAAAAAGTAAAAGCATCTTTTACAAAAGTACATGTCTAACACACATATATAAGCGTATAAATGCATGCAAGATATTACAGAATTGTAGTTGTAAATTACAGCTACGTTATACGATGGACTTTTTTTTATTAAATATTTAATCAAGGGAATATGTTCCTACAAACACGCTTTAATTTTTAACATTAAATATTTCGACAGTTACACATAATATTAAAATTCTCGTTTGAATAATGTTTATTAAAATGAAAAAATTAAAATCAAAAATTAAAAAATTCAAGGATCATTTTGCAAGAGGCAATTCATCTTCGATGCTTAGAATATGAAAAAAAAAAAGAAAAAAAAAAGAATACTTTAGATTAAATTTCAAAATGTCTTTGAATCTTCGCGCAACCTTGATATTATAAATGCGCAGCATTCATCTCGGCGAGTTTGACTCGTCATAATGACATTACGAAGTTGGGGAGACGGCTTCTCTGACAGGCGAATGAAAAATGATCGTTCATCTCGCGGCTCGAAGATCACGCGCCTCTAAGGTCACGATCGAACGGCTTTCAAACGACCGGACGAGTGACTTTCATAGAAAGTTGAGAAAAGGCGGCACCTCTGGAGCGAACTCCTCTCCTGTAGTTTCGCGAAAAACACACGGGCGGCTATTGAGGCCGTTACGAGCCGTTCTTATTGATTGCCCCACGTCCATGTAGCTCCCATTAGCAGCATCGACTATGTCGCGCACACAAGAGAACCGCTTACAATCTGTTGAGAACGACGCTTATAGTTATATCGTACACATACACACGCAAAGCTACTGTTGCGAGTGTCTCACACACACAAAATTACTGAATTCTCTTACCTATAGACTTGGAGGACTCTGCCGCTAACTTTGCAAGACGTCACGCGATGGAGACAAAGACACTCCATGCATCATTGCCTGCCATTTAGATGCGCAAAATCACCGAATATTCTCCTGATAGCAGATTCTCTTCAATCAATTTGAAATTGATTTATTTTTAGCAAATATAGCAAATATTAAGAAAGATCATGATTTTAATTTTTCCTTTTCTTCACATATTTATATACCATTTTAATCGTAACTTAAAATTTTAATAAAATAAATCCGAAAATTCCTTGAAATTAATTGAAGAATGTAATTTTGTTAAATTTTTGACTCTACAAAATTTATAGTTTATGAAAAGATTTTCTCTTTTAATGTTTATGACTTGAAAATTATTAATATCCCAAGATTTTTGTTAAGGAAAAATTATTTTTAAAGATCAGAGAGAATTTGCTAGTAAAACAGGAAATCCGGTGTTTTAAACATTCCATAGTGGTTTTATAAACGAAACATACACAACGGCTATTCATACAGATATATGTAAATATTACAAACGAGGCCGAATTATGATGCTGGCATTTTTTATCTCTATGCAAGATACATAGATTATCTCGAAAACAGTTGAGATGCATGTTGATTAAATTTCTTTTATTTATGTTAGAGTATAGTTTACACTGTGTGAAATTTTTTAACATTGCTGCATTTTATACAGTGAAATAATATGTTGCTGTGTCCATTTCGAAATTTTGCGATTATGCCATTTGGAGTAACATGCGAATATCATTATATTCCTTTCTATTTTAAAGAAGATATATTTTCCATCTTCCTTTCCTGCTCTGAAAATTTCGCAAGCGCTTAGCATTATACTAATGAAAAATCCGGTCTTGTTTGTAAGATAATGCAAGAACATTATGCGTACAGATTATGCAGAGACTTACATTGAACCTCGCTTTTCGTATAAAAGGGGACTTTGTCTACTCTAAAAGTATAGCGAATCTGCTGTTTCGCGAGAAGAGAGATCTTCGAAGGGATCTCGCGCGCGTTGAAAGCCTCTCTCGTTCTTTAAAATTCCCACGATTTATCTCTGTATATCCGATTGTGCTTCAGGGTAAAGATCTGCCGGCGAAGGACTTGTCAGGTACTTCCGATCCGTACGTCCGCGTGACGTTGCTTCCGGACAAGAAACACCGACTCGAGACAAAAATCAAAAGACGCACGTTGAACCCGAGATGGAACGAGACCTTTTATTTCGAAGGTAAGCGTACGTGTATTTGATAACGCTTTTCGTATTAATTTGATTAAGTCAAGCGACATCGATTAAAGAAATTCCAGCAAAATGATGTAGCGGTCTGAAAATTCGATTTAAAAACAAAATAAAACATATATATAAATCTCATATGTTTCATTTTCTTTAGACAAATAAATTTATATATGTTAAAATACAGGGTATTCTAAAAAGGTATGTCAAAAATTTAAGGAGATATTCCTCACACCTGAAGGATGAAAAAATGTTATATGGACATAGGTGCGGAAATGCTTATTCCAGGAGTTATGTTGAAAATACTATCTGTACTACTAGTTGTATTACAGTTGTACTTACACAAGGAAAAATTTAGGATTAATTATTGTAGGCTTATAAGCCTAATTAAACGATTGTATTTTTGTTTTAATATTGTATTTTGCGATTGCATTTTTCTTTTAGTTTTGTATTTTTGTTTATAAGCCTAATTAAACGATTGTCGTCTACAATAATTAATCCTAAATTTTTCCTTGTGTAAGTAATGCAGCTAACAGTATTTTTAATAATAACTCTTGAAATAAGCATTTCCGCACTTATGTCCATATAACATTTTTTCATCCTTCAGATGTGAGGAATATCTTCTTAAATTTTTGACATATCTTTTTAGAACACCCTGTATATTTCAAACATAAAAAACAATAAATTATCAATTATATCTCCATTCATCGTACCGATAAAAAAAATAAATTGCGCTAAAATTATAGGAAGACGCGTGAATGCAATTAAATTTGATTCGGATAGGATTATGATAATTCAATAAAGCATACGCATTTACGTCCTGACAGGTTTCCCCATACAGAAGCTGCAGAGCAGGGTATTACATCTGCATGTCTTCGACTACGATCGATTCTCGAGGGACGACTCCATAGGGGAAATGTTTCTGCCGCTTTGCCAGGTAATTTGCCGAGACGCGTCCCCCTCATCCTACTCGTTACCGCTCTTGCAATTTGCGCGGTTTAATTATTACACGCGGCTTAAGGGATTCGCGCGACAGGATACGCGGAATCTGACGTGTTGCACATCGCATGTCTCTGTCACCTTACGTCTGTCCTGGAATCGGATCCGCAGGCTCTTATCCCGTAATTATCATCCGCAACGGCGGATGAAATTACCGTCTAACGGATGAACATGCGAATCGATTGATTACTTTGGAGAAATCACGACGAGAGAGAGAGAGAGAGAGAGAGAGAGAGAGAGAGAGAGAGAGAGTGAGAGAGAGAGAGAGTGAGAGAGAGAGAGAGAGAGAGAGAGAGAGAGAGAGAGAGAGAGAGAGAGAGAGAGAGAGAGAGATATTCGATAAATGTGCTTTTCCTTGAATTTATCAAAACAATTGTTTTATCTTGAAATAAAATTGGATTTATTGGAGAATGATATACGGATGTCCTTAACTGGAGATACCGGAAAAGCAATAATTCTAAAGACAAAAATATAAAAATTTTTTCTACAATTTTGGCTTATTTTTTCATCAAGAAACTTTTTTTTTTTTTTTTTTTTTTCAATTACATCGTCATCATGGAATATCCTGTTATTAAACTAGGAAATAATTTTATCAATATAATATTTTTTTATTTCAATATTTGTTATATATGTTATGTAGACAGAGAAGTAATTTTAAAACTTGTTATTTGAAAGCAACATAATCATGAGTTCAATTTTAAATATAGACAAATGTAAATTAAAGCAGCAAAAAAATCTTTTTATTAATTTAAAGAGGTCATTTTTATATAATTATAATATGTTATTTGCAAACGCATATTAAAGTGGAATAATTTCATTAAAAATTCAGGGAGTAAGACCAATTGAATTCTCGCCAGTTATTTTTTATGAGAGAGAGAGAGAGAGAGAGAGAGAGAGAGAGAGAGAGAGAGAGAGGGGGAGAATGTGAATGAATGAGCTTTAATTCGCTAATCCGGCGGACCGCTTAAAGACATAACTTCAATCTATTGGTATCAATATTATCAAGGGGGACAATTTATAATCTGCACGCGCAATAACACGTGGGGGATGTGCATGATAATTCTACGCGCGTGATAATTCTACGCGCTGTGCACATATTCATTTCCCAGGAGCGATACCTACATTTGCCGGCATCGCATCAGTATTTCACGCATCTCGTGCATCTTCGTGTCGCATATTCATATATAGAAAGAATTATATATAGAAAGATTAATTTAAAAAATTGATTAATATGCATTAATATTATTATATAAATTATATATATATGTATTACATAAATAATACATAATTACATAATTTAATATATAAAATATTACATAATTTATATATAAATAATTTATATATATATGTATTATATAAATTATACGTATATTATAAATATATGAATTATTATTTATATTAAAATTATATTGAAATTAATATTAATTGTATTAACATACATAATTAATAATATAATAAAAGGGTAAGACTTAATGATATTATTTATGCGAACGAAATTTAATTCTAGTCGTGCTAAACACTTAGTAACGTAACTCCGGTCCTATATCACAATATTATTATGGAAAGACGAGACATTAATAATATAATGTGTATATATGCTAATAGTAATAATAACTATAAATTAAATATTACAATTAAAAAGGATATGCAGTTTTTTGTTTTCTTTTTTATTAAAAAAATAAGTGTTTTAACAGTGAATTAAATACTGTTTAAATTCGACATCATATTTGTGCGATTTGAGAGGCTTATGCCACAAAAATTTCATATTTCTCATTCGCCGCATACGATAGCAATTAATTACGTATATGACCGCTTGGAATAGAACACGTAATTGGTACACGTTCGTCGTACGCTCTAATAAGGGATAAACGTGACGAAGGTAATAATGATAACGTGGCGAACGTTGCCTTCCCTTATAAAAGATTGTATAACTTTTCATAAAGACATGTAAACACGCAGACACACATGCACGCACGCATGAAACTGCGGAAACTTCTATTTTTAATTTCATTATTTCTTTTATTACGGTTGCGAAAAAATCACACATTTTTTAAATAAAATTAATAATCTATGGAAAGTAATTAATCTTAATATAGATATTGAAAGATAATCCTTCTTCTCTCTTTTAAAAAAGTTCAAACTCTGTGATTCGCTAAAATTAGAGTGAAAATTGTACGAGATAGATCAGTGTAAAATGGATACTGAAAACACAACAATTATCGATAATATCTCGCGGATTTGTCGCAGGTCGATTTATCGGAGAAACCATCGTTTTGGAAGGCTCTCAAACCGCCGGCTAAGGATAAATGCGGAGAACTTCTATGCTCGCTGTGCTATCATCCGAGTAATTCCATATTGACGTTGACTCTTTTGAAGGCAAGGAATCTTAAAGCTAAGGACATCAACGGAAAATCAGGTAACGTTACATTGTTCGCACGTCATCTTGTATCATCGTCGAGCAAAATCTCTTCTTTGAAAAATTGTCCTTCCTCGACAAGCGTTACTTTTTTAAGAAATTGAAATACGCTACGCATATAAATATATTTTTTTCGAATAAAAATTATGTGATAATGAATTCTGTTTTATTTCTCATTATGCATTTAAAAGAATGAGAGATTCGATAATATTCACGATTAATATTCGTAATTTCCAGATCCGTATGTCAAGGTGTGGCTACAGTTTGGCGACAAGAGGATCGAGAAACGCAAGACCCCGATCTTCAAATGCACATTGAATCCAGTATTCAACGAGGTATTCTCCTTCAATGTACCATGGGAGAAGATTAGAGAATGCTCTTTGGATGTGATGGTGATGGATTTCGACAACATTGGACGAAATGAACTGATCGGACGAATTCAGCTCGCAGGTATCTTGAATCTTTTTTAACGAAGCCACATTTTAGAAGTCACATTATATGTCTATCAATGATGTCTGTATTTAAAATAGAGGAAGAATAGCGAAACAAACATAAATCTTTTAACAAATATATTTTTATTAATCATTGTCAATAATTTGAAAATAATATCAAATATCTAAATTATATTTTTTTATCCTGTAAATATTTATTAAACTTGTCATACGTTTGGATGAGTCTGGATTATCCAGAATTCCAATGTAATTTGTCGAGGATTAAAAGCGTTGAAAATTCCAAATCTTTTTCTCAACCGAAATAAACTAGCGTTTTTTCTCCCGTTCGATCAAACGTTGAAACATTGTAGAAACAGATAGCGACGAGAAATTGGAGTCCAATGTTCAATGCATATAGCGTAAATTCCTTTTCAGGGAAAAACGGAAGTGGCGCAAGTGAAACGAAGCATTGGCAGGATATGATCACAAAACCGAGGCAGACCATCGTGCAATGGCATCGCTTGAAGCCCGAGTAAGGGGAACGAAGATTACCTTGATCGACGATAAATGATATTCTAGTCGAGCGAGTCCCTTCCCCCGTCGTACCCTTCCCCTGTGCACCGTACTCGTCAAAGTTACGTTAACGAGGCGACCTTTTCCTTTGCTCGATAATCCCCGCAACAGATATCTTCTCCCTCTCCCTTCTATACCATTCGATGAGACTGTACTGGACGTATCCCCCGCATCGTGTAAGGCACTTAACGACGCTGGTCGTCGGGCAGCCGTGCCGATCGAGTCGCGTTCATCGCGATTAACGGAAGGCATTTTCGCGTTATCATTCGTTGTTGCGAGTCATCGAGTTGACGAGTGATAAGGGTGAAAATTGTTCTTATCGCTGATAAAATGATGAACCTTGAAGCGTTTCGGTTCGAGGAATGTTCTAAACGCATCGTTCGATACCGTCGAGATAAGCCACGCTTTCTCGAATTTCTTGAAGAAAATTTTTAGTCGATGACGTCGATAGCGGCGCATCAAGGAATGGAAGAGAGTAACATAGCTACGGACGAAACTCAGTCTTCCGTCGTAGCAAAATCAGGAAGCTTTTTACGTCAGGCGCTGCTCTCTTTATTTTCATCATCTCTTCTCCTTCTTCCTTCCCCTTCCCTCCTCACCTTCCGTATTCACCTCGTTGCCGCCCGGTGCGGTTCAATGACTACGAAGAATTATGCTGTGAATACCTAATCTCAGTTATTCGCTCGAGAACGAGCTCCAATACGGACGAGCGGATGTTTAAATCTTTTAGAAGTTGTTTAAGCGTCTTTCACAGACGTTTCTTTACGGGCTTTTGTATTATATGTTTGCGTCTGCGCGCTTTTGCGGCAAGATTATATCAGAGAATCGTGCAGACTCTAAAATTAAAGGGGCAAGTAAAAGAGATACGTCGATATTTTACGAAAAGGAAGCGTTAGTTTTGTGAGTGAACTATAGTGTTATACTAGCACACGTGATATCAACTTAGCGATGCGAATTTTTTGAGATTCGTTCGCGAATGAAGAATTTGTACGTACAATATTAAATTTTAAATCACTGTGATCATTAATTCAAGATTAAAGGCGATAAAATCGTGCAACGATACGTATTGCCTTCTTTTACTTGCTCCTTCAAGCATCTAGTTAAAGAACATTATTTCGCGCCAAGAAAGCGGAACTTGAAAAATAGCAACATTTTGATGAGCTTTCCGAAACGACGTGTACCATTTCAGCATGATAGACATGTTATAAATCTGCATTCGTAATATTTATATTTACGATAAACGTTATTATACGCATTTTTAGAATTACATGACCAGGATAGACCGATACGTGGGCGAGAAACATGCGCGCGCATTCGCATCACCGTTATATTTGTAAAATTCATCCTTTTCAGGATGTCATCGATTAAAAATCTTAGCGAAGGTAAGCGAGAATTGTTATGCTAAATATACATGCGTACACATTTATGTTTTCTTTAAATCTACTTTTATATGTATTTACTTTTTATTTTGAAAATTATATCTACAGAAAATTTCTCAAAAATTTTTGACAGAATTTCCTGAAGACATACTTTTAGGAACGACCTAAATTAAATAATAAATATGAAAATAATAATATATATAAATTAAATTATAATTATAGAAAAATATTGAAAATTTGAGAACTACTTCTTATTCTTTCTGTTATATATATATTTTTTAAACATATGCAAAACAATTCTAGATTCTTTAGATTTCATCATCGATTCGATAAATGTAAAAATTAGTACAAATTTAAAAACATTTTCTGTACTATTTTCTTTTATATATATATGTATATAATATTATATATTTTTATATATATTTTTGGTCGTAACTAAAAATATGTCAAAGGTAAAGTAAATTTCACAACTGTATCCGGACCTACGTCAAACGTGGCTTTTAGGATTACTTTTGCCAACAAAGTTTTGAAATCAAACGATCCTGTCGAAACAACCTTGTTTACCGTTGCGTATAAGCGATCACTTTTAGGGATAATCCGATTTGGTAGATTATCCCTAATTTTGTTACTTAACTTTGTTCTCGAAGAGAGTTCTAGCTTTGCTTTCCGATATAATCCTTTTTTCTTATTTTTATAAAATACAATACATGATTGATTTTGACGCAAGCGACGTATCGGTAGAATTATTAAAGAAGCATCAGCTTCTTCACCGAGGAGTCGAATATTGATCGAAAGAAGCACAGGATATTGTAGTAGTTTCCAAACGTTGATATTTTTGTGATGTAGAGGATGCTTTGAAGCTGCGAGCAAGAATGAGCGAGATAAATATAAATTATAACGTAAAATTGTTATCACACATCTCTATACACGTACACATACACACAAAAAACATAAACCAGAGTGTGCCCCTTCGATGGGCAAACACATTTCGAGATAATCCTTAGAAGACAAGCGATGTTCTTGTAGGGATGGGCAATAATTAGTGAATAACCAGTCGTTTTAACCATAAGAATATAAGCGATTATCAAAACTGTGCGAAGATAACTAGCCGTTCAAAAAGGACTTTTGAAATTGATATTTGAAAGATAAATAAGAGAGATATTCTAAATAGATTTCATGACATCAAGAAGAAATATTCGAGGGATGAATAAAATAAAACAATAACTGAATGTTCGTAACTTGCTTTATTTTATATGAAAATTTAAATTTTGACCTTGAAGTAGGACCGATAGCTAAATATAGGATATTTTAAATTAAGTTGAACGTAATTGGCATACATGTGTTACGAATCATCAACGAAATGGCTATCAAGTCTCTACTCAACGTGATTCCGCTGCATTTCGCGTAGTTTAATCAGTGTCGATTTTTCGCACGATCAGTGTTGATGCACAAGTGTTAGAATAAAAAAAAAAAAACAGTATTCTATTAACGACTGGTTAACGAAAAGTGAATAATTAGTTGTCGAAAAGATCGATTAGTTTCGCCTATCCCTACCCTGTTGTTAGTTACGCTTGGCTAGCGTTGACCGTGATTACCGAAGTAATCCTACACAAATTTCTTTGTGGCATGACTTTCGATTATTAACTAAAGCCCGATGAAAAAAAGGGAGAGAGATATTTTTGACGGCACTTTTGTATCGATAAAGAGTCAGGGCTTTATTTGCGGGATTACTCGCTCCAAAGAGAGCGCGATTGGTGCATCTTACGCATCGAGACAGGGAAAGGAAAAAAAAAAACGATAATGTTACGTTATACCCGATAGTCTGCTGTTGTTAACAATAATATAGAGACACACACGAGACAAATTCATTCGCGAATTTGCTCGGTACACTCCGAAAAGTGTACGCCGTTGATGTAAAAAAAAAATGATGAAAAAAAAAACAGAAAAAGAAAGGACAAACGATCCATGTTACATTTAAACTAAGTTTTAGCGTTAAGCGTCGTTCGCATCTGGGAAGTTTCTCGACGGAGAGCGTCTATATTGTTAACAAAGTTACCGGGTAATAAGCGAGAAGAAGCTGAATGAGACGAGGATGAATGAGACGAAGATTTGGCCACTCTCTTAAATCGCTTCGAAAGCAAGCTGGACTGAGATTCGACGGCTTTACTTGGAGGATACGATGTATTTCATATCTTTGTCCGCTCAATTGTCCTTTTTTAATTAGTTAGTTTTTCCAAATTACAATCGCAATAGTGATGATTAATGATAAAAGTAAAAATATTAATATTTTTTTTACGCATGCAGGAACGAGTTTATTCGCGACCGTGAAGGTTTATCGGACGTAAATTCGCAAGCATTCGAATTTATCGCAGCGACATGCACGTATGTAAGAAATTTCGCTAATGAGAAAGATTTCTTTTCCTTTGAGAAACTTTCCAAACGCGTATGTCGCTCTTAATGACGTTTCCTCGCGTACGAACGGGAAATATATCGTAAATTGCGAAAATCGCGATCGATTTGACAGCACAGTTTTTCTTTCTCAAGTGTACGTTCGACGTGATACGAAACAAGAGTATCGTTATTAAGGGGTTTCCTTATACATACCTACCTACCTATCCATTTACCTATTTCCTCCCCTTCCTCTCCTCGTCCCTTTTTTCCCGCCTTCCTTTTTCAATCGCGACAAATACATCCCGGAAATATTTTTACATTTAAGCGTTACATATTTGGGTCGAAGGTGTTACCGATTTTTCGTAATAACAATAGCCTTCTAGCGCGCACGCGCAGAAGAGAAGAGATACCGTAGAGATTAGAGGAACACGGAGAGCGAATATAAAAAATAGTTTATATATATATATATATATATATATATATATATATATATATATATAAAAACTTGTGCGAATAAATGGTTATACTGACATATATTATGCGGAAGTATATCGAGTAGCACAAAAAAGATTAGATTAATATTTGTATGTCGTAGTCTGTATACATTGTATATAAGAGTGTTTCCCGGTTTACGTATCACGTTAAAATGATGGTATATACAAAAGCACATGGATGCTTGCTGAAAAACAAAGTTTGTTACCGCAAAATTTTGAAAATGCACGATGCTCCTCCCCTTTTTATCGTTAAAAAAAATACTGCTGTTTCCGTCGAGAAGAGAAATAGACACGATCCTCTCTCTCTCTCTCTCTCTCTCTTTCTCTCTCTCTCTCTCTCTCTTTTGATTTTCAATTTTTGTTTTCCACATTCTCTTAGAAGAGATTTTAATAACAATCGAGATGTGTGTAGAATCCATTGTATCTTTTCGTTCTCCCCTTTTTGAAAATTTTCTATTCTCGAATAAATACATTCGAACGCAGCTTTAGTTTGCTATAACGATACGGACGCTTTTTTATCGTTTATCCTCCAAGACAGCGATTCTGGCCATATTTAGAAGATGATTGTTATAATGCGAAAATATACAACACAAGGTGCCAAAAATGAATATAATGAATAGAACACGTAAGATCACTTTTTCGCGCGAACGATCACGTCATGCGAGTCGCGTATACGTGTTATAAGACACAAGAGGGAGGTAATTCGGGTACGCGCGATTTGATTAAGGAGAATTAAGTGTGTATCTACATTTCAATCTCTTGTACGAGAATAATCCGATATATAGAGTCGAGTAAGAGAGATAGATCTGCATGTTTTTTGCGTTGTAGAGAAGCGAGAACGATTCTTCTCAATGGATATTCGCGATGTCTCTATTCTTTGAATTGCTTTGTAAATTTTTTTCAGTCCTTTTACTACTCTGTTCAAATTTTTTCTATCGTATTTTCTACTGCAAATAACACGCTTGAAACACGGATAAATTGAAAATCTGTCTGATAAAGCAACTGACAAAAAACCATAGTCGGTTTAATGGAAAGTTCAATTTAAATTCTATTTTGAAATGAAATCAATTTATTAGTATCTATTATGTTTCTCGATTTAATCGATTTTTCTCTCGTTCGAGTAACTTCCCAAATAATAAAAATAGCCATTTTGGTGTAATTTGATGTAATTTCAAAATTTTTACTTCTTGGACTATTAACATCAATAATTTAGTCGTGTTAATTATCGATTATTTTCTAAAAATCGATCATTCGGTGAGAATTCAATCGTTGCTACAACGTTTGAAACATCAAACGATTTATCAAAAAAAAAAAAAAAAAAAAAAAAAAAAAAAAAAAAAAAAAAAACGCTTGTCTTGCTCTCTATGTCTCTCAACTAGTATATTTCAATTTGTTTCTTTTCTTAAGCTTCCCGCTCACAGAAAGAACCGTAATACTTCCTGCGATGATTTATTCTTCGTATTTCCATTCGATGTTTCACTAGCGTGTCATACCTGTCTGACAGTCTCTCATTGTCATGTTTTTTTTGTCTTTCTTCGTTCGTCGCGTCCGGATCCCATCCTCTTTACATTACCATGGTTTTAACGTTTGTTATAGACTGGGTTGAACGTCTAATGTTTAAGTACTTAGTTTTAAAGCGAAATGTCGTGTGTGTTAGGCGTACTATAATCCGTATCGTGATATATATATGTCGAAAAGCGTAGTCATAGCATAACTTAGTTGAGGACAAGCCGAAGGGGAGGATGAAAGAGTAAAAGCAGCGAAGCGATTGCCGGTAGATGTGACCGGTTCGCGAAGGGGCTTGCGGGATACACATTATATAGTTCTAAGTACTTAATGGTGAAAAAAAGAAACAAGAAAGAAACGAAGAGAAGTACTAGTGTATACTCGATAGTCCGATGTGGAAAGTGTGACGTGGGCCTTATATCATGGATTACCTCAATTGTAAGCAGCTTAAAAAAAAAAAAGGAAGAAAGAAAACGCAGTTTTTTCGTGCACTTGAAACCGATGTTGAAACCGATCTCGAGGCGAGAGAAATGTACCGTGTGATTCGTACTAGATACTAAAAATAAAGGAGCCATTCTACCTTCCGATAGTAGTTCGCTGTTGCACGACATACTCCCTACTGCATTATTATGCCAATCGAGACCGGAAATCAGGGATCTCGTTCTCTTGTGCTTTGCACTCGGCGAATTTTTCTACGGTTCATTA